ATATTTAATTATACACTATAATGGCCATATTGATCATCCCCATCACTATTTTGCATCTTCTTCATTTTTTTATATTTTGATATTTCTCTTTGGATATTTTTTTTTTAACATTACAATTTGGACGAGGGGAATTTTTTCAAGACTTCATTTTTTTATATTTTGATATTTCTCTTTTGATGTTTTTTTTTTTTTTGAACAGTTTACAATTTGGAGGAGGAGAATTTTTTCAAGACGTTAGTGAAACTTAAAATCTCGATCAACTAATCCAAATACGTTAAAATTTGAAGATGAACCACTTGAATCCGAAGACTCAATTCTTTTTGATGATTTAATTGATGTATAAATTTTTTATGATTTAATTGATGTATAAATTTTTTATTAAGAATTATAAAAAATTAAAATGTCTTAATAATTAAAATGTTAAATTTTTTAAATAAAATTCTTTAAATATTTTAATAAAGTATTATAAAAATAATTTTTTAAAATAATTTATTAAAAATATTTAAATAATTTCATAAAAATTCTGAACAATTTAAACATCAAAATATATGGATTTTCACTTTTCTCTTCTTAATAAGTTACATAAAATTTTATGAAAAATTATCTTTAAAAATATTACTACTAAGCAGTGGCTCTTTTTAAGATGCTCTCTACCTAAATCTGAACAATTTCAGCGAATCACGGACTGCCATATATTGATACATATCCAATGCATGGACTACTTTATTGACAACCACGAGGCTGCTTGCCGTTTGGGACCTTTTACTAGCAATCCGCTTTTAATTGGTCCTTAAAAGCTTACCCTTTTCGCAAGATACCACACTGATTGATATTCAACTCAACTTTTGGATATATGAGGTAGTTAGAACGTTACAATACACGTTCAAATACCTCTATAGTCAATTTTATACAAATAATTTTAGTGAATTATGTTTGTTATATCTATTAACGATGATTCAAATTAAAAAAATTTGATTCTCATTAAATAAAATAATGAGTTCAAGTTTTGTAAATTAAAAAATAAGTATTAAAAGAGTTTTCATTTATAAAGTTTGATGTAACTTAATTTCGAATTAGTTAGAATCCAATATGATTATCGAATTCGAAAGGTTAATACCAAAAAATGTATGTTTGTTATCCTTAATTAGAAATTTGTTCAGCATCTATAAATGAGTTAATTTGTAGACATTCATAAAAATAATTAGGTCAAAGATCTTGTTATTCATGTTTTTAAAAACATGAACCAAAGTCGGTGTCTTTGTCGAGAAGGAGAAAGAAGTTCAAGAGTATCACGGGAATGTCTCACTCTCACCCCACAATAACATGTTTCATTCCAATCCTGTGATCATGTCAGATCCAAAAAGATTCTTCTTCTTTTTCATTTTCAAGTTCCAACCCCCACTCCCTTTTTTTTTTTGTAACAATATGTGATTTTGATGTTCTATTGTCTTACTTTTTTTGTATTAACCTTTCGATATTCGGTAGTCACATTGAATTTCAATTAATCCAGAATTAAGTTGCGTCAGATCCCATTAAGAAAAAACTCTTCAAACACTTGTTTCTCCATTCATAAGATTCGAACGCGAAACTTTACTCAAAATAAACTGAACTCTTTTCACTTGGACCAATACGTTGTTAGTATGTTCTATTGTCTCATTGGTAAAGAATCAACAGACTTTGAGTTCCTTTCAGTTACTTACAGCTATTGGCTGAATTAGAATAAAACCTGCCTCGGTTGTCAAACTTTTTGGGTAAACAACACCATCAGTCCCTCAACTTTAGACTTGGGTTTGTATTTCGCTTAACTGTAGTTTTTGTAGAAGTAATGCTTGACTAGATTTGGTCATTCACTCATTCCTCTCTTGCTAATGAAAAACAAAATTAAGTTGTGACCAAAACTAAATAACAAGGATTTGATTCACCCATCTCTGGGACTGAAATTTGATATTGGAAACTTCAGATTCTTCTTCAAAAGACCAGGAAATTTGCAAACTTACAGGTAGAGCAAGGCTTATTGACTAAATTTTATGCTACAAGAAAAACCAATGAAAGTTAACTTTGCATGGAAGTATAAACATATCTTGATGACAAGAGAATAGAAGAACTACCAATCGAGATCTCAATCAACATTTCGTGCTGTCATATAAGGTGTCTCCATTGTCGTAATCTTCAGCTTATGACCTCGCAAACCATTCCAAAAGGCAGCAGCACTTACTACCTTCTTACCGGGAAGCTGAACCTCCAATACCTGGTTGAATCAGTGAATTTACAGGATAAGCAAGTGACTTCGCCCCTCCCGCCCAAGGCATTCAAAAGAAGAAAAAGAGAAAATATCATATAAGTAGAGCCAGAACAACTTTGCTGAACCCATAAACCATTCGCCGAAAAGCTACAGAAAAAGGAACATTTTACATACCTCAAGTTCAGTCCGTCATCCACAAGGAAATATCAAATTACCCTTGATAAGAGCAATGTCATCTGCTTCGTTACGTTGAATATTGCTATCAGAGCATACTCCAGTAGTGACTATTTTGAGTTCTAGGATATTGTGGTTGCCATTTTTGTTGTCAACAAGTAGAACTTTAGCTTGGGTTCCTGGCCACCCTGCAAATGCACAAACCTAAAGAGGTTGCATGTCATGACCACATACCCAGACTCCAAGGACGAGGGCGAGAAGTTACCTTATTATATAGCATTAAAGCTTCTTGATCAAAGGATAACCATGATTCTTCAAGAGTTATCTGCGTACAGGGGAATGTTAGATTTGAGGAAATATATATATATATTTGCATCCAAGCTTGATGAAAATATCAATGTCAATAAATAATCTGATGCAAGCAAATCATTAGAATTAGTACATAGAAAACTGGGCCAACACATCAACTGAGAAAATGAACCTCAGACATGGACAAAGGAAGACAGGGTGAAAGGCAATCAAAAATCTATTCTTTTTTAAGCATGTTAAAGAAACCAACCTAAAACTAATCAGCGATAAGAAGGCCCAAGTTAGATATGAGGCACAACAAACCCCAAAACTCAACTGCTGTGAGATATTACCACTAGTTAACTGAAGTGGATATTAAAAAATGCTCAAGTCATAATAAATGAATCCAGGAAACCTCAAACCAGTTCTCTGAAACAAACTTAGGAGATAGTGCATGAATTATGAATATATCAACACTTCCAAAACAACATAGTAAATGTTGGAGTCATCTTAAATCCATTCTTTCCAAAACATCTTCCGCCATAACATGTTAAAAACAAGCACGGTTTACCTTTGGAGCTAATGTAGCTTTAAAATCATCTTGAGGTTCTGCTTTTCCCTAGTTGATCCATCAAAGATGCAGGGAAGCTCACGAATGAGAAGTTTAGAACCTAATAATTTAAGAAAGCATCACTCAACTAAAGGAAAAAAGAATGAAAATGAGAAAGCAACTGAATCAAATGACATGTTCCACCATTTGATATGGTTGCCTGACACATAACCATTGCAACCTACATGGCTAATTAGTGATATGGGACACTAGCTACCAGGAAAATAGAAGTAGCAATAGCGACTGCCATTGATATTGTAAAACAAAGTAAAAAAAGGAAAAACACACCTTCAGAAAATAGCATAGCAAGTAAATCTCCTGCCTGCATGCAAAACAGTAACAAGGCAGTTAGCCAAATAATTAGAAACAATATTTTTTTCCAGTCATGAGCAGATGATGAACGTAATAAAGCTATATGTGAATGAATGACCATAAATGAAAAACTAAAATTTATAGTATACATAAGATGAAAAGTGTAGTACATGGATGTAGAATCAGCCTACTAACATTATCTTGTCTGCAGACCAACAATTGGTCTTCTAACATCTTTTTGACTTACCAAGCTAAAGTTTTAACACAACTGAAGAATACTAATCTCATATATTATCAGAGCCATTATCATTTAGTTGTAATTTCAGGCAAGAATTATCCTTACCTTAATCTGATCATCAACTTCTATTCTTTCACTGGCAAAGACAGGTCCAGCATCTAATGCATGTACAGTGAGTGCTAGTGACACCCCAGTTTCTTTAACACCATCCTATTCCATAGACTGAATGTGATCAGATGTCATGGGAAAATTATATTAGCATCCAAAGAACTATAGCCAGACACAAAAGGGGAAGAACCTGTAACGCTCTTTGAACAGGAGCAGCACCACGATATAATGGGAGCAGATTTGGGTGTATATTAACTGTCCCTGAGAAAACACATTGAAACTTCAAGATAATTAGCATAAACTATTTTACGTACAACAATAAATTCCCCATGAACTCTAGAACCAATGAGACTTTGGCTACTCTTCACTTGTGGCTTGAAAATGGTACAAATCTTAAGTTGTAAAGTGTGTACTAGGATCGACCCTTCCCACTACAAATGGCTGTATTATCTACCTAAAGTCAAGTTGGTGAAAGCTCATAACACCTCAAGGCTAAAATGTATTAGCTATCTAACAATATAAGAAAAATAATTCTCTAGTTGAAGCAGCAAATAATTAAACTCCTACTTTGTTAGCACAATGACTAACCTAAAGATGGAATATTAAGAAACTTGCTAGGTAATATATTCCCATATGCTGCTGTTATGCAAAGTTCTCATACTGAACAAGAATGTCTCCTGCATGAGAAGGGAAAGAAAACTGGATTATTTTAGATTTAGTAGTCTAACATTTCTAGAAAGTCCAGATACAATGTTGCAGAGTGCTAGAGTTATTTAAGAAAATCCAGCATTCCCATTAGACTGATAAATCATTCAACTCCTTAAAAGGAATATCTTAACATCTATCATGAAAAAGAAAACTCACCTCTCCAGCATGTTCAGGTGTGAAAATTAGGTCAGAGGGAAAGCCTCGATCAAGGGCATATTGAGCCACAGGTGAAGGCATCACCTTTCTGCTCCTATCTCTTCTAGTAGGTGGCTGAGTAACAATTGCTGTAACCTAAAGAATACAGGTTATAAATCCACATCATGATATGCCTATACTGTCACTTGCTATTTAAACCTGTACTGTTACATTCAACCACATTTTCTTTGCTCCACAGGACAATGCCCATGTTGGGAAATTCATGTGGAAGAAGAATGTCCCCCGGAAGCCTCTTTTGAATGTCAATAAACATGATGGAGAGACAATGACAAGACCACCAATATGTCTAAATTCGGACAATAGCTGCACTTACAAAAACCAAACATGCTATGAACATGATAAACTTGATAGATTTTAATTATATAATTGAGGATTCATTTCTTAAAAAATATAGTAAGTGGGAACCGCAAGTAATAAGCAGCCAAAAGTTTGGAGTTGTAGCCATTCAATTTAACAAATTCACTTCTCAAAAACATGGATAGAACCTAAACTGGCGAAAAGAAGGTACCAAATGAACTTCTACAAAAGCCAAAATCAAATGAGAGATTATGCATTACTATCTCCTCAAGAGTCTCTTTTGAGAACTAATGTGAACCCATTACGAAAAGGCCAGAGAAAAGAACAAACTCTAAATCCAACAAGGAAGTATCAATGAAAACATAAAATTTTCCCCCTTGAGTTCCTAAAAAGAGGGGGGTGGCTGCAGCTGCTGCATTGAAAAGAGCATCAAGGACAGCCGCAGACACCTACATGGAGGCCATTTCGGAAGAGCCGCGCGGAGCGATGAGCGTTTACAGCTTAGGAATGTAAACAGTAGTAATTTAGATGCACATATGCGTCTGCGTTACCTCTTACCTGAGGAGAACCCAAGAAGACAAGTGGCTTCTTCTTGGAAGTAGAAACAGAAGAAGCTGCCGGTGTTGATGCGGCGTTGAAGCAGAACAAACGACGGAGCATCATCGATGAATTCATTCCTCTGCTTCTTCAACGGCTTATCTTCAAGGACGGTGCTGGGATTTTTAAACTTCTCCGAGCACTCCGTCGACGCAGCTGGAAGAGCCGCACAAGGATTTTACTTTTTTTTTTTCTTTTTTTTTTTTGGGGTCTTATTAACAAAAGGATTTCCTGGTTTTTCGTATTTTCGCTGGGCTTTGAGCTGGGGCCAATTTCAAAATTAATGATTAAATTAAAATTTTATCTTTTAATTTATATTTTTAAAAATTAATTATTAAATTAAAAATTTTATTTATATAAATTATACATATAAATTTTTATGTTAATTTAGTAAGTTTAATTATTTTGTTAATTATAAAAAATTAATATTATTAAATATATATTAATAAATATAATTATTTTAATTAAAGAGTTACAAATTTTAGATCAATATTAAAATTAATATGTATGATTTATGTCAATACAACTTGTAATGTAATGATTAATTTTTAAAAATATTAATTAAAATATAAATTTTTAAACAAAATATTAAAAAACATTCTACCTACACTATCCTCGTCCAAATACAAAATAAAATAACAGTAAAAAAAAACCTTTTTAGTTTAAGAAAAACACAGCTGAGGTGAGTAAAAATATTTGATCTAATAAAATTAAAATTTTAATCCAACCCTTAATTTGATTGAGTAAAAAATTGTTCCTTCACTCGCTTCCATTTGCTCAAACCAAACAAACAATAAAGGTATTTAATAATTTTTACTTTTCTCTTATATATTTCAGGAAAAGAATTTCATTTCTAAAACTACAGTGTCTTAATAAAACAACCTTCAGCATTTTCTAAAATGGAAGAAATTGTAACATTAAAGAAGTGAGACTTAAACACTTATCATATATTTTTTCTGAATAAGGATCTAAATTTATTTATAAGACAAAATTTAAAGATTGAAAGAGAGAATTGAATTATCTGTTTTACATGTAAACTAGGCAGTTTACAAGAATAAAAATCACTGGCAATCTTCACCAAGTTCTGTTGAGTTCCATATACAAACTTCTAAGTTAAGCTCTCCAGAAGGACCAAGGAAACGAAAAGGGACAAGAAGAAAATCCATGGGAGGAAAACCTTCTACTCGCCCTGGAAAATTCTCAGTCATTGATTTTAGCCTGAGTGAACTGATGCCTCTTCCTGATACAAGATCATACAAGAACTTTTCTTTGGATGAACTCGGTGCAATGCAAGTTATCATGACAGTATTCCCAACAGTTTCAACAACACCTTTGTTGAGGATGAAGAGAATACCATCCTCCTCTGCTTGAAGAACAAGGAATTGTGCATCCATTGCCAAGGAGACAGACAAAGGAATATTGTACCTAAAAACCCTTCCGGAATCCCAATGCTTGCTGCTGAAGTGTAGTGACAACTGTTCGGATGAGTCAATGAAGTTGCAATTGGTAAGTGGGCATGCGCACGGTTGATAGCTACATGTTTCTTCATGGTCATTGTTCCTTAAACGATCCACAGTTTCAGTGCATCCGTACTCTTTGTTTCGGCATGGGGTTTTAACTGAATCAACTACCAACTCTATGTTTCCACATACTAGGTTTTTAGTCTTAAGAAAGTTTGGCTCATTTGCCTGTGAAACATAACATCAAAGTCCAATATCATGCTCTCTTGCAATCAGATTGTCCGAATGCCTAACAATACTACGAATGAAACTAGCATGCACTCCCTCCCATCACCAAATAACCACTAAACAGTTTAGAGGAAGCTGGAAAGAAGCAACACTAATCATGCCAAAAAAGAGAGGGAGGCAGGGGGAAGCAAAAAGAAGAATCTAAAAGAAAGGGTGAGAAGCAACCACCTCTTCCATATTAAAATCTCCATCCACTGGTTCTCCATTAGACTACAACAAAATAGATGAGAAGAAAGAAAATTCAAGACTCAATTATACTTTCTGTCAAATGAAAGGTGATTAGCATCACAAGACATATTTGTCACAAACTTTATGCCAAGATATCATTCAAGTTTTACTTATTATGAGATTGTTCTAAGACAGCACAACCTTAGCCACAACAGGGCATTTTAACATTCAGAGATTTGCCTGAACCAGCCAATATCCAATTTCTACCCAGTTGCAAGATTATCCCATCATCACAAGCCAAGCCTCAGCGAGGACCAAATTTTACCTAAAAAGGACTCATAAACAAGAAAATTTTTTATATTCAATTAATTTTTCAAAATTTAGTTAGTTACATTCGCAAAAGATTCTGCACTGTGTTTTTTGTGATTTTGTTCATAAAAAGGGATCACATGAAATTCAGAAAAGCATTCTAACAGCCAAAAGTAACATCTAAGTACAAATTCAAACACAACTTTGAAATGATCCAGCTTCAGCTCCCTCAATACACTCCTATATATTGTTTTCATTGTTAAGGGCAAAAAATAACTTCCCTCTGTTAAATAATCTGATATTTTCGTGGTGCTGAATAAATTTCTCTAATGACAACCACATTCAATAAATATGCTCAAACAAAAGAGATAAAAGATTAAGGCAGCAGTTGAAGATATAAAAACTATATCCATCAATGCTCAACTGCAGGTTCTCATAGCTCATCAATAAGAGATTAGAAAATGGCATGAATTACACAGGAAACCATAGTTTTTCCTGCAAATAAATGAACCAACCAAAAGACTGCAAATGACTTATTGTTGTATGTTACTTTGAGCAAGTTTTTCTAAGATGTTAAGCAATATTTCTCATTAGATGTTAAACAGTAACTAGTCACTATAACTGATATTGATGTATTCTACCTGCTCAAATATGGCAACATTCTGAATCCCAGTTCGTCTTTTGCCTACAAGCGGGCTTTCTATTTGGCTTCCTTGTTCTGATGCTTCCACAGCAATGCACCTCTCTTTGCAAAGCACCTGCAAAGATTATAAGGCTTGATAAATCCCAAGTAAGTGCATTTATGATAAATTATGAAATATAGATGTAGATGTACCTCCCCAAGACCATAACCACCAAGTTCTCTTTCTCGCTTTTCTCTCTCAGAGATCTCTTCCTCACCCCATGAAGATAAGCATGGAATGACAGCAGACGATAAAGAACCAGCTCCCTCAATGGAGATGCTATCATAATAAAACAGCTAAGAAGCAAGAGAAGTTCAGAGATACTTTCTGATGCATATGAATAAGTTATTATTAGAAAACGAAAAAAAGAAAAGCTTATGTTAACCTGAAGAAAGAGAAGACATCCACCAACTGCCTGCTGCCTTCCTTGATGAAAACGTGATATCTCTCGAACTAGCCGGTCTAGGAGGAACTTTCCCCAGTTATACTGATGCAAAACGTCCATATTTGTCAAAAAATGGAGGAATGAAGGGCTAACATCTAGCCTTGCTGTTGGAGATAAAACAGTACCCAGAGCATAGAGGACAAATGATCTCTTAAAATCCTCTCCTGCTTCAGGAGCTGCCAGGCGGTCCTCTAAAAGTCGCACTGAAATCCCATGATTTGTAGCATTATAATGATGACGTAAATCAGCAATCAAATCATCAGGCCCTGAATTCACCACATCCTTCCCACTAGCTGTCAATCCCATTACATGCTCCACATCTCTATGGTATAAAGGAATGCACTTGCCACAAATCTCTAAGCTGCGCTGTGCAGTATTAAACCTCTCCAACAGCCAAAGACACAAACTACGACGAAGAGTGCGGCATCGAAGACTAAGGAGGCTGCCAAATCCCATGCTCTTAACTGCATCCTTTTGTTCAGGTGTGAGGCGCTGAAGCACATTGAACAAGCGGCCAGGAGAGCATCTGGTGACTAGTTTTGTCTGCATTATGCATCTGTAAGATTTCTATGACGCAACATTGGTAAAAAAACAAAAACATTGATGAAATAAATTTACCTGCTTTCTGGGCTTAGGAGTATGGAGGGGAGCTGTACGCAAGTAATCATCCCACACTTCACGAGCACGCCTAGTATATTTTGCTTTTTCTTCAATGGTCATTGACTTCCAAGCATCTGAAGCTGCTTTAGTGGCCTGTTGGATTGAAAAAAGAATACTATTAGATATACCCAATGTGTTCACAATTATCACATTTGCATAGAAGAAGAGGCATTTTTCATGAATTTCAAGGTCAACAAAGCAGCTTACAGCTTTAAGGCCTGATGACTCCGGATGAGAAGCACTGTACTCCTTGATAAACTCCCGGCTAGAATATTTGATTTAAGAGTTAGTATGTTGGCACCAATAAACAAAGAGGAAAAAGGCTTATAAAACAATCCCTTTGAAGAAACTATTTCTACCTAAAATACACCCACGAGCAGGCAGGACGAGTAGTACCCAACTGCTTCTTTTTCTTCTTTTTCCTCTTCAATTCTGACACAATATGCTCTTCAGCATCACCGTATATCATTGTCAAATCTCCTTTATTAGCCACCTAAAAGCTCAAATAAAAAAAAAATTTTTGTTGCAAACTAAACTGAGAAAAGATAAGGCTCAAATATAAGGATCCTATACAGTTTAACATGAAAAGAGGCATGCTTTCCCTTTAAAATAAACAATAATGAATAAACATAGCCAACATCATAAACGATATTTTGTATCCAAAAATTATATTACCTAACACTAGACAAAAGGATACTAGCTCCAAGAGTACTTTTTCTTTTAAAAAAATGTCAACTTTTTCCCTAAGAACTATCTGGGGTTGCCCACAATAAAACATATGCAAACATAAATGAACAGGGAAAAAAATGTTCATATATCAGTAGAAAGAAAAGGAATGCCATAGATCACCCCAAGACAACAGCAGAAAGCCTATATTGTTGACAACACAAGCTTCCGCTGTATGGTACCCCATGCTGTTATATATTGTACCACTGTTAATGCCAACGCTAAGCTGTTCCAAATTGTACCACCATTCCCTTAAAAACCAATGATCTATTGCTCATAGGATACTACTTCAAAACCCATCATCCAAAAAAAAAAAAAGAAAGGGGCACCACCAAAATTAAATTGCTTGAAGAAACACCAAAGGGAAATTTATTGCTCTTATGGTACCACTGCATGCAGAAGCAAATGGTGCAGCTAACATTAACTACTGTAGGAAGAAATTTAGGGTTTGAGAGAGCAAAACCATTTTCTCTAAGAATGAAAGGAACTGCCTTCGGCGAAGTCAGCGAGCAAAATTTGGGTTAGGGATAAGGGTTTCCAAAAGGGTTTGCCGTTTGATGAACTGTCAGCGAGCAGATGATCAATTGGGGAAGATAAAGGAACAAAATCGAAGGATATTGTTTTTGCAGCTTTGAAATCCTACTCCTATTCCTTCTTTGTAGTTGCATAGTCGCCGAGTAGCGGCGGCCGTCTCCTTCTCACGCTGTGAGGGTTGTACCTTCTCTATTTTATAAAAGAAGCAGCGAATGATAAAAATCAGGATGATTAAAATGAATGATATTGAAAATTAAAAAAAAAAATAAAAAAACAAAAATTTTCAAGACAAATTATATATAATTTTATTAAAAATATTTTAATAACTTTGTATAATGAATTATATTTTTAATATATAATTTAAATAATAATTTATTAATTTTAAAAAAATGTTTTACAATTTTTTTTTTTTGTAATGAACAAATAAATATTTTGGAGTAGGTGCAATTCCCAAAAGCTCCTCCTTTCTTTGTATATGCTAATGCCTTTTAATTTTTAATTTTGTTTAGAACGAGGAGAAGTGAGTCAGACTCTCACTCCCAACAAAATTCAGGTAAAACAAAGGATATAAGAGTAATTTTATAATTTTAATAGAGATGATATCCTTCTAAAATTTAAAAAAAATAATGTTTCGACTAATTTCTCTTTTTCTTTTTTTATTTATGGCGAAAAAATAGATACCATAAAGTATTAAGCGGGCTTTTTGTTCTATTGCAAAAGAAAATAATAATAATAATAATAATAACCATTGATATAGGAAGAGGAAGGTCAATTTTGAGGGTCCTCCATATCAATGGTTATAATAGATTAATTCACATTAGATAGGTCAAACTATATAGCACTTTTTTATTAAGTATTTCAAATATCCAAAGGCATAAATATAATTTGCATTAGTTGCACACAAAAAAAAAATGAAGATTTTATTATACCTTTCTTCTTCTTCTTTTTTTCTTCTTCTTTTTTTTTTTTTGTAAAATTCTTTACTCGTTAATAGAAAAATAACTATGCTTTTGCTAAGAAAAATACGTCCAGATCATCTCCACTGCTCCTACTTTCATCTTATTTCTTATGAATATAACAGAAAGATTTCGAGTTCGAATCACTCCACTAAACCACTACACAAAATAGTTATCATATAGAACATTATGTTAAAAATATGACATTTATTTAAAAGAAATGGAAAGTACTTTCATTAATTTCAAAATTTACAAAACTTGAGTAATTATGACTTAGTTTAATAGAGTTGGGTTGTTGTTGTAGTTGTAGATTTTTTTAGTTTTTTAATATTTCAAAAATATATAAATATATTTAAAGATAATGTATATCTGTTTACATCTAAAAATAGATTAATGGGATGAGATCATGTGTCAAGATTAGATCTAATCTTTAAGAAGAGTCATTAAGTTAGATTAAGCTGGATTGGGCTGGGCTAATTTAGAATTTAATGGCCAAGATAAATTTTTAAAGAGGCTGGATTTTAGGTGACAGAAGATAAGTTAGTTTTTGGTGGTTGAGTTTAATTTAAATTAGGAAGTTGAGGGTTTTTAGGAGAAGAATATTACTAGGGGGTTTTATTAAAGATAAGATTGAATCAAAAACTATCAGCTGCTAGATAATTGCCTAGACGTGGAGTCCCCACTATTGATCATGGTGGAAGAGGGCCGAAAAACATAGAGAAAGGTTCACAGCACCAAAGAAAAGGAAAACAGGAGGAAAAATTAGAACATACGGCCTGCCCTATAAAAACTGCCCAATGCATATGTTTTTTAAACTTTCAAACCGTTTCATCTAGATTTCAGCATAATTTTCAGATTAGTTTGCAAGTTCTACTCTTGTTCATAGCTTTAGTTTAAGTTTTTTCCATTCTCGTTTGTATTTTCTCTCGAAAATAACAACTTTAGTTAGTTTTTAGAGATTTAGAAGCATTTCAGCCTTGAAAACAGGTCTACTCTGTTGATTTGGTTAGTTTTTCCTTCTCTTATGGATTCATCTTTGTTATTTATTTATGTAAAAAGATCGAATGTTTCCTGCCTTCTTTCCTTTGTTTCTACACCACTGCTAGACTTGCAACTTGCTTAATTTCAATTTTCAGATTAAAGTTTAATTTTACGAGTTTCCAGACTTCGGGTATTTCATAAATTCTCTTTCAGATTCAATAATCAAGTAGTTTGATTATTTTTATTTGAAATCTACAAGCAATTAGTTTAATTGTCATGGATTGTGAAGTTAAAATTAGTGTTTGTAATCCTGCACAGTTTGTTGTCTGCGTGTTTATTTTTGTTGCATGTTATTCTCTTTTATTTATTTCGTGTTAGATTAATTGTCTTAGGATTTTGTGTTTATTTTTGGATTTGTAGCTTTTATTATATTTTTGTGATTCTAAAGTCTTTAGAGGTGTCCAAGGTAACTAGTAACCCATTTTATAAATTTCCGCCATTTATTTTGCAATATCGTTTGGAGTGCAATTTATTTCACAAACGTTCTTTCCAGCCATCAAAGGTCGACCCTTAAAAAAGACAAAGGTTGTCTGAAAAATCCTGTTTTCTTATTTTTCGACAAAGCAAATAACACGCCTTATTCTCAAACTCTCGTGGTTAAAGCCGATTGAGGATTTTTGGGAAAACAATATTAGTCTCAATTCTAAAAGAATTAAAATCTCAACTTACATTTAAGAACTAAAATTTTAATTTAAAATTTAAAAATTCACCATATTAACTGTTAATACTTAAATTTAAAAACTTATTATATATTCTAATATAATAAGTTTTTAAATTTAAATACAAATATTTAATAAGATAAATTTTTAAAATTTTTATTAAATTTTAATTAAATAAAATGATATAATTTATGATT